GATCAGAGAGAGAGGAGAAGGAGTTTTAGAAGAAATACATGAAATGGTAGAGGAAATGATGAATGTTCTTCGTCAGTCAGAGAGGAAACTGACTGAGCAGGCAAAGAGGGTCACTGATGCTAAACTAAAGGTGCTGTCAGGGCAAATGAAATCAGCAGAAATGAGTTTGAGTGTTCTGGAGGATGTTGAAGATTATGTGGAACAGAGTCTGAAGACAGGCAGTCCTCAACAAGTCCTGAGGTCTAAGAAACAGATGATGGAGCGTATGAGTGAAGTTACTGCAGGGATCAACGTGGAGGAGTTACATCCAAATGAAAAAGCCGACTTTGTATTGAGTAAAGATATCATATCACTACATCACATTGGAGATATTGTGACCTTCTCATCTACTGCACTACAGCAGTGTAGAGTGAAGAAGGTTGATGGTATTACACCTGCTGACAAAGGAGTTTTGTTTTCACTATCAATGGAGGCACCAGATTCATCTGTTTTGTGTGTTCCCCTCTCTTCTCTGAGGTGTAGTCTAGTACCAGGTGGTAAAGGTGATCAACCCATTCACACTACAGTCACTACCACCAGCACTAATTCTGGAGTGTATAGGATACAATGTAACCCTTCAACACGTGGTACTCATACAGTAAAAGTACAAGTATATGATGTACACCTTGAGGATACCTCACTAGTTATCTCTTTTAATCCTTGCCTTGATAACATCACTCCAGTACGTACTATAACTGAGCTTAAGCGTCCCTGGGGAGTTGCTCTAAGTGATGATAATCATGTTATAATAACTGAGCTTGATGGTAACTGTGTAACAATACTGGATAGAGAAGGAAAGAAAGTGAGATCATTAGGAGGGAAAGAAGGAAGTGGTAATGTCAAGTTTTCACATCCTCGTGGTGTAGCCATTACTCCAGACAAATTCATTCTTGTATCTGATAATCACAGGATCCAGAAGATAAGCATGGATGGATACCTTATAGCATCAGTTGGTGAGAAGGGCAGTGGACCACTACTGTTCAAGGAACCTCATGTTATAGCCATTTCTTCTATAACAGGACAGGTTTATATTGCTGATAAGGGTAATGATTGTATACAAGTCTTGAATCCTGATCTAACCTTCTCTCATTCATTTGGTAGCTATGGATCAGCTAATGGAGAGTTTGTATATCCACGTCACATTGCTATTGATAGTCAAGGATTAGTGTATGTTACTGATAATGGTAATCATCGCATTCAGAAGTTCTCTCCAGATGGAAAGTTTGTGTGTCAGTTTGGTACTAAAGGATCTGGTCCTGGACAACTTAGTAATCCAAATGGTATAACAATAGACACTGCAGCTACTGGTCTAGTGTATGTGAGTGAATGGGGCAATAATCGTATATCAGTCTTCACTAGTGATGGTGTGTTTGTTAGTAAGTTTGGAAGTAAAGGCAGTAATATTGATCAGTTTAATAACCCTTATGGGTTAACATTTGATGAAGATGGATTATTGTATGTTTGTGATTATAATAATTATCGTCTTGTTGTTTATTAGTTATTAATTCTTTCTTTTATATTGTTAATGATCATTATTAGTTAATTATAATACTGATACAGTCACTAGTATGTGTACTGAGAATACACTCAATATAACTTCAATAGCACCGCAATATCCTAATAACTAGGAGAAATTATTTCTTCTTTTAAAACTATGTATTATACTCATTAATCAATGTAGTATGATGCATGAAATCATGAATCGTTATTATTATATAATATCATTATCAGGAGACCAGGTTGTATGCCACTAAGCACATGCAAGTGTTTCTTCATGTTAATGCTCCATTCTTCTCCAACTAGGGTATGGAGATGCTGACTGGTCAGTTATACGACACTGAAGAACCAGTGAGAGAGGAAGCCATTGATATACTGGACGAGGCTTGTGAAGAAGAGGTGGGTGTGGCTTAAGAGGTCACATGACTAAGAATGATGTACATGTACACATATTCAAGATGTGTGTGTGTGTATGTGTGTATAAGTAATGTAATACCTGAGGACTGAGATATTTGCTTGAGGTAAAGCTGAGGGCAGATATCAAGGGACTCAGGTATTACATTACTGATACTCACCTCCAGACACACACACACACTGGTCACTGCTTATACTGTACTTACATTAAAAATAAACATGTATGATGTTTAATCTCTTCTATCTTTTCCAGTCATTTCTGAAATCCCTAGTACTGCTGCACCCAGCACTATTGCACTGTCAGAGAGAGGAGTGTCTCTATTAACAAGATTCATATCAGTGAAGAGGAGATTTTTCTACTCTCTTGATTGGGACATTTGAAAACTGAACTGGATGCTTGGCTCAAAGTAATAATAATAATAATAATAATATTAATATTAATATTAATATTAATAATAGTGCTTTGGTGAACTAATGCACGTATGTGGCTCCTCTCCTCCCCCTGAGGTGGATGGGTCTATTTAACCTTTGATTAATAATTGCAAAGTTCAACTGCATTCCATTGGTATCACGTGATGCAAATGGCCACTAGTACCTCTTCTAGCAGTAATTTAAAGCATCAAAACAGAGCCAATGAGAATTTTATTGCTTCACTACAAACTATGATGATTGCAGTTATTTTTAAAATCTTAAACTAGTGAAGATGTATTTATCTGATGAAGTAAAGAACAGGATCAAATTTAAGATGCACTGTCTCTTTCTCCTTCTTATATTTATGTCTATAAACAAACAAGAAATATTCTCCATGCACTAGTAATTCTCACAACTGTCAAGGATCGTCATGGATCGTTATAGTTTCTGCAGTACAAGCCTGTTTTGTGATACAGTCATCAGAAAGATGCCATTTTGCATCAATGGAATGTAATTGAACTTTGCAATTATTAATCAAAGGTCAACCGTGTCATACCTCCTCTGTGGCCAATTAGTGAGGAATAAAGAGGGGTGTAGCCTACTCAAGGAAGAAGTGGGTGTGGTTAATTAATTAATGGGTGTGGTCTATTATTATTAATAGGGTCATATTAGTAAATTGATTGAGTTACTACAGAAAGAGCCAGACACTTCAAATGCTATACTTAAATAAAAGCAGCTGCTTGGGCTCTGGTGAGTGCATGGATACCTGCATGCAGGCATATCATTAATAATAGTAATTAACATTTTTCTTTTATTTTAGGGTCATATTGGTATTTCTGTTGGTGGGTTGGACCCATTGCTAGGCGATGATGTCATACAACTGTTAGTTAAAATAACGGAATCATCTCCAGTAGCTACAATAAGAGGGTAATGACAATCACTATAGTACATGTTTATACAACACACATTATTCTAAATTACAATCATTATTTCTCCCCCCCTCCCCATTACTAGAATTTGTTTCTATTCTCTGTGTTTCATATCTAAGACTTCTCAAGGAGCAGATGCTCCTTGACATGGCTGGACTTCAGTTTGCCACTCCAGTGATGAGAAGTGGCCTCTGATCCTCTCTGAGGCCATAGAGGATGTTATTCACATTCTGTCATTTCCTATTTCTCCCAGTTCTTCTTTCAGTGGAGTGATGTCAGTGATAGAGGAGAGAGGGAGGACTGGGGACTCTCCTAACAGGGAGGGGGAGAAGAGGAGACAAAGTTCACCTTCTCATACCAGTATGATACATGTACATGTGCGTACATACATGTATGTATGCTTTTTAATTTACTACAAAAAGAGACAATGAAATAAGGAATCCATTATTATAATCTATCATTACATTATTTATGTACATGTATATGTACACTTTTATTACTATTATTATTATGATTATTATTTTTGTTATTATTATTGTTATTATTATTTGTTGTTGTTGTTAGTGTCTGGTAGAGGGAAGAAGAGGATATGTCATACAGTCAGTGCAGTATCAATGCCAGTGAGTACCCCACCATGTAACTATGTACTGAGGCCAGTGAGACCAATGGACCTTGGGGAGAAGGACAGAGACAAGTAAATAATAATAATAATAATAACTAGACAAATGTAAAGCATTGAAGGGGCAAGCCTACGCAAGCAAAGCAATGTACATACAATAGATCTTGACAGACTAACATACTCATGCATGATTGTGTAACTTAAGCAGTCAGATTTTGATGGAGCATAGTGTAGTTCTTGATCTACCTTTGTAATCAATTGAAGTTTAGCATTTAAGAATCATTAAAGACAGCTAGAAGCCTAGAAGCAGTCACTGCACAAATGATATACCGTAATTTTGAAAATTTCCAATTAGAAAATAAATTGGATAATTAATTTTTAATAATTTTAATTTTTGGATAGCCATCTTGTTCCGAAATTAAGTTTAATTCCAATATTAAGCAGTAACAGTGAATGACTTTGAAGAGACATCAAGGAGCTCAATGGTAGACCAAGAGGGAGTGAGTATGAGCGAGAAAGAAGGAGTAGAGGGCACAGAGCAGTGCTGAAAACAGCTAAAGTCAAGCCACATGGCACTGATACCAGAATTCCTTTTTACCCAAATATTTTAATATTCAATTGTTTAAAATTTTAACTTTTTTATTTTCGAATTGTTCTGTCCATCCGAAAATTAAAATTATCCAAAAATTTCAAAATTTACAGTAGCTAGATGGACATGCAATTGCAGTAATGTAGTCTAAGTTAGTTCAGGCTGTGACTGACATTCACATATTCAGAGTCATTCACATCAATAAGGAAGATGATATATCTGCTTTCTTACTGAACCTTCCTTGCTGCATTTGGACAGTAGTATGAGTAGAGTAAGTCAAGTTATCAACAAAGACGAGTTTCATAGTTACTGTATTTTACCGATTGAACGCCCTGGCATTTATTTCTTAGCAGCAAAAAAATTGATTGAAAAGAAAATAAAAAAAGATACTTTGAGCGGGATCGAACCCCCAACTCCGTGCAAGGTAGACCAGGCTCTAACTATTAAGCACTCTGAAGCTATTTAAACAGTAAGGCATTATTTTTGGTACAAATATGTGTATCTATAGCTAGAATATATGCGACCATAATTGACATAAGGTACCTTATGGCGATTTTAAAATTCATCATTATGATGAAAAATGTCAACCTGTGAGTGCTCTGTTAGACAGCTATTGTTTCTAAAAGTTACATAGTAACTTTTTGCATCCTCTGGAGTTATTTCATGATGAATGGAGCTCAGGAAGTTAGATTTTTAAGGCTATAAAAACCAATTTTTCCTATCCACCATAAGGTACTTTTTGTCAATTATGGTCACATATTAATGAGTGACGGGTGTTTATTTGGACCAGGCATTTATACAGTAAAATACAGTACATTATTGCATCTATAACCTTTTCTGGCTGTTGGAGAAGCCTTTGGACAGAATTTCTGTCTTATTTTGCTGCTAGAAAACTCATAAATTCTTCCCGTTTATTGGTCACCATTTTATTTTTATGTGACCACTCCCACTTTTAATGAAATATTGAAAACTGAATTTATATTGCTTTGTTAATGCATAGCATCTACCGTATTATGCATAAAATAGGGGTGATGTACATGTACAGACAAACATGCTTGTGTCATTTATGGGGGGGGGGGCTTGCTCAGGCTCACCCCAATAATAATAATAATAATAATAATAATAATACATATTCTGATACATATACATGTTCATATGTTGTATAAAAAGTTTGAGCTGATTCCAATCAAAATTGGATTTTTTATAAATCTTTTAAGTTGCTCAATGGGTTTTTGCTTGTCACAGATTTTGTGACAATGGGACTAATGGGCTTAGTTTTTCAGTTGTGGTCATTTTCAAATAATATAATTGATAAATAATTAATAATTAATTAAATGTGTTCTATTATACATGTATTTCTCATGTTCATATCAATTCCCCTGTGAGGTGGTCCACTCCTCCCACTGGTCGTGGTGTCTCCCTCAACATGACTCGATGAAACTCTCTCACGTCCCTCAGGCCAGGATCCACTCAGAACTTTGTGGGTGTGGTCTTACCTCTGGAACTAAGCAACTTATTTAAAGTTAGAATTTTAATAATAGTATACATGTACATGCAGAGTAGCTTCTATATAATGGACACTTTAGGTCAAGAAAGTGTCTCTGTTATACAGAGGTGTCCTTTATGTAGAGGTTATTTTATACAGTAAGGAATGCAATTGGTATACTAGGTGCTGTCTGTTAAATGGAGGTGTACGCTATAGAGAGTGTCGATCCATTAAGAGAGACTATACTGTACAATATTTAAATTATTTTTTCTCTTTTTCAGTTTAAAGAAGACTCTTATAAAGGTTTGATCTAGAGCTGATTATGTGTCGACTGATTTATTTGATGATCAGCATCACTTTTTACTGGACAGTTTAGTAAACCACACCCACTTGAGCCCGCCCCTTCAGCCTCCAACACAAACCAGCAACAAACAGTAAGTTAATTAAATCTTTATTTATTCATTTAATTTATTTTTAGAGGGAGAATGGTGTATTTGTTCTGAAGCATCATCCATTAATGGAGTTATAACTCCATTAATGGATGATGCTTCAGAACAAAACTGAAACTGATGATAAGAAGATTTTAGGATCAAGTTATGATCATTACACATTATTACATATACATGTACATGTATATTCTATCATTACTTCTACCCCTTTATCTTCCTCCTTCAGTGTCCATTCTCGTACCAGTATATCTTCTGGTTCTGTTACATTTTGATGAAAGCTCATATGAAGGACAGTTGATACTACACAGGGAGTTCTTAGAGATTGTTTATTAATTATCTTTGCTCTGATATCAGTCTTAGGAAGAATGTTCACCATCTTAACCTTTAGTAGGATACTGTCATTTTCTTTTTAATTAAACATTCTTTCTCTCTCTCCCTTTCTTTCTCTCAGGTTGTGTAATATGTCCCCTTGTCTCTCCCAAGACTCCTCCCTCTACTGGAAGACTATGACGTTACTGTCATTATTTCATTGCACTGCAGACCAACAGGAAATTAATAGTCTAAATGATGCTGGAATGGGAGGGGAAGGGGGCATGGGTCAAAGATGAGGGAGAGAGGGCAAGGGAGGATCAGATCCCGTCTTTGGCAGAGGCAAAAAACAGGTTGAGTCAATTGGAACTTGACGTGGGGACCTGGTGGTCATTGATCTATGAATAATTGATTAGTTATTTATTAATTGACAGGGTTCTATCTAGAAATTTTTGTTTGGGGAGGAAGCCCAAAGTAGTTGACCGGGGGGGAAGGTTGTGTACATACATGTGTATGTACATGTACAGTACATGCATGCAGTTACAGAAGTACACAGGGGGGAAGCTTAAAGTTTTTGGGGGGAAGATGAAGAGTTTGGGGGAGAAGCTTCCCCCCCCCACTGGATAGAACCCTGATTGATTGTTAATTCATTAGTTTGTATGCATGCATAATCTTCATTTTATTTCATTTTTCATTGACTTTTTGACTTTTTTTTATTTAGCTATTTTCTGACAATTTTGACTAATTTTTGTTCCATTATTATAGCTATTGCCTTTTGAATTTTAAGACAAGTTTTGTATTTAAAATGTTGTAATGATATTATTGCCTTTAGTAAAGGATCTTTTGCTAAATTTTAGAGCAGCCTTTAAAATTTTTGATAGTTTTCTGTATTAAAAAATTATTTGCATACTTTTAAACATAAAAACAATATTAATAATAATAATAATTAATAATTGTTGTGGTTTAAGCTATTCTTATTTGTTTGCCTCCAATGTACATGTACATAGATATGTGAGGGTTTAGGGTTTAGATTTTGATGTTTTTATTAGGGTTTTGTGTTGGTGGTTGTGTGGGGAGCTTTGATGATGTCTGTGTGTGAACTCTTATTAGATTAGTGAACTTTTAAGCTTGGTTTTGAGCCACTTGCAGCAAGATAAAACTGATCTGTTGTCCAGACACTTCTCCAGCAGCAAAAATATTTAAGAGAAAAAATCTTCTTCATCTGTGTAATAATCTTTAATAAAAATTGGAAATTACTACAAAACTTTTAAAATTCCTGCAAAACCAGACCAAAGTCCCTGTAGTAGAATTTTTAAAAATTGAAAAGGAGTGAGTTCTTCATTTTTATGATACAAATATTGTACTCTGTAGCTTCATTGTAATGTATTTATTTTTGTCTATAATACCTTATCTACTTTTGATAATACATGTACACACCTATACTTGTACATAATTTTTGTCATATCCACACATGTAGATGCAGAAGATCAAGCAAGAGAATACACTCCTGATAAAGTATCTGATTTCCTAGCCAGCATCAAACTTGGGCAGACAGGGCAGTATGCCCAAGCTTTTCTTAATGAGGAAATAAATAGGTCACAACGTCTCTCTGCCGATCGCAAAGTATTTTCCGATATTGAAGCAGTTATAGCACTCACATTATGGTACATTTAGATGAGAGTACAAAGTATTGACAGCGAGGAACCCTTTTATGGCATTCTACTTGAACATCAGGAGGTGGTGAACTAAATTAGAACAATAAATTAGTTTCTCCAGTCTTGATGTATACATGTTATAAGGAATATCTTTTCTAAAGCTCTGGATAAAAACAAGTTTAAGGATGTTCTTAAAGATTTGTCAATGACCACACCTGTTGGAAAGAGTCACTCTCCTCTTAACTACATTGCTTACTCTATGCCTGTTTAATAAAAGTTATTGTCATTGATGTTGCATATACTTATAAAATTATAGACTTTATTGTTATCATAGTGAATTGTTAAATATATTTTACTAGCAAGCTCTGCATGTTGCATCTTTCACATCTATGTCACAAACAATACTGATTGAAAGTAATCATAACGCATTACAATAATAAATGATGATTTCACATTCAATGTGTGAATGCATTTGAATTGAAAAATCAACACGTACATTTACTTCAAAACAGCAACATTTGCACATGTTGAAACTAAATGTATCTATTAGAGAACAAACGATAACAATAACATAAAGCCAAGCAAAAAAGACGTTAGAGATTGCAATAGTCATGGTCAGTTGCAAGCAGATTTTCTACAAAGTATTATTAGCTATCCTTGTGGTATCACTAAATTCAAGTGGCACTGATAAGTGCATTTACTTAACAAATTCAACATCATTGGTTTATCATCTCTGTGGAGAAGGGAAGTCTCATCTACAAGCAGGCACTCACTTATGTCTCATGGGAAATTTATCCTATGATCTGAATAATGGCAATTCTTCCTTTTGCTTGGTTAGTGGCATCAGTAATATCACAATACGAAGTGCATCAGTTAATGTGCAAGCAAGTATTACATGTTCAAAGCCTTCTGGTCTTGGCTTTTATAACTCCAGTGGGTTACTAATTGAGAATGTTAACATACATCAGTGTGGGGGAACAATGCCTTCTATAGCTGAGCTTTATCCTAGTAATGATAAGTCGTTCTATTTTCCCAAAGGCCAGTCAATAACACTGCTTTTTAGTCACTCAGCAAATGCTGTGCTTCATAGCGTATCCATTGATGGCTTTTATGGATATGGAGTCGTATATATTAATCCTTACAAGAGCCTATCAATCTTTTCTGTCAATATATCCTCAACCTTGAATTGTACAGAAAAGTCTGGCCGTGATACTGACTGTGGTGGGACTGGGCTACTTCTATACTTTTCAAACTACACAACCAATGAGCAAGTTATAGCTAATATATCTAACATAGATCTCGAAGGAAATCGAAATTTTGACACTAAAAGTTATTTGTTATAGATCTATCCAAAAGCAATTAACACTTTTGCTTCCTGCACTGCAGTATTATTCAGTGAAGGCAACTATCAGGCATCTGTATTCTTTGAAGGGACTCAAAGGAGCTTGTGGAGAGGTTGTTATGGCAGCTTATACAATGTAGCCATCATTGCCAGAGATGCACCAATTGGAAAGACAAGTGTATCATTTGAAAATGCATTATTTGTTGAAAACGATATTATGTACCCAAAAGTTAGCGTGATAGGGTGCTCTGTGGAGTCACAGTACAAAAGAAGTAAAAATAGCATTGAACTTAATAAGAAGTGGAGTTTTCTTAGTATTAAAAGCAGTAAGTTTCACTATAGCACTATTTCAGGTTCTAAAACGTACACTAGCAGTGAGCATTTATTCTTTAATGTCACTGTTGGTTCTAATGTTGAAGCATATGTAGCTATTGCTTTGCTGAATATTTATTGTAAAAAAACAAATTTTCGTTATCACTCATCAATTGTATTTGCAAAAGTAATAAAAAATAGCAAAATTCAAGAAAAAAATCTTATGCTAGAAATTAAATCATTTCATGTTGGTGATCGTCAATCAAAAATTGCGGCTCCAAAAATAAGGGTAGACAACATAGGGAAGCTGATCTTCGTGAATGTAGGCAATGTCACTATTTATGGTAGCAATATCATGGAATATATTAGTGGATCAGTAATACTTGCTTGCAACTCTGACATTTACTTACATGGTAAAATATGGTTTGCAAACAACAAAGCAACAAATGGAGGTGCAATCAGACTTTATCAATCATCACATCTGTTTCTTCTTGAACCAACAAATGCAACATTTATTAACAACAAAGCATTTTCTTACGGAGGAGCAATTTATTCTTATGTCGACAGAAACTTGCCTTTATCAGATTCACTTTGTGCAATTCAAATAGACAGTAACAAGACTAATGTTTCAGATATAAACATAAAACTAAATTTCATCAACAATACTGCTGGACTTGCTGGTAATTCAATGTATGTGTCTCCATCATATGATTGTCAACAGTTAAAATCTCCACTTAATACAAGTGCACTCTATAATGCAATATCACACTTTGATCACAGCAATGGCATATCAAATGAAATAGTATCGGTAGCAGTTACAACACAATTATGCTCAATTAATGGAGTGGACAAAGTGGAAACAAGCTACAGTTTCTATCCTGGTCAAACACTCACCATTGGACTTAGAACTACTGACCTAAACAATGTCTCAAGTTATGCACAAGTTTTGACAACACTTACAAAGAAATTTAAATACAATGGTTTAGAATATGACATGGACACATCTAACCAGGTAAATCCCAAGCAACAAACACAGGTTGTGTACAGTAACAGTTGTACTCCACTCAATTTTCAGATACTCCCTATTGTTGGCAATGAAAAGGAGCAAATCTTTATGCGGTTTGCAGTATTTGGTTATTTTTCTGGTGCATTTGTCATACTAGAGCAACTGAATTGTCCACTTGGATTTGTTTATGATAACAAAACTAAATCCTGTACATGTAGCTCTTTCCTTAAAGTCTTTGGCATCACGGACTGTAAAATTGATAATACAAAAGTTTTAATACCTCAAGCATCTTGGTTGAGCATAGTTGATCCAAAAAATCAATTAGCATTAGAATACACTCCTCATTGCCCTCCTGGATATTGCAGAACTGACACAAGAGAAATTAATGTGACCCACACTGATGACATATGCATGAGTAATCATGCTGGCATAATGTGTGGACAATGCAAGGAAGGATATAGTAAAACTCTCTTTTCTTCCGACTGTCATAATTGTAACAATAATATCAAAAATATCAGTCTTTTAGGATTTATTGTGGTCAGTAGTATATTGTACATTGTGCTTCTGTTCTGTTTAAAATTCACGATCAACAGAGGAACAATGGGTGGTCTCATATTATGGTATGATGTCATTAGTCTTACACCATCTGTAGAACTCTTAATGACACATAGCAACATCTTCAAGTATTTCCTCTATGGAATATCATTCACAATATATGATTTGAAAATACCATTTTGCGTATTGAATGGTTCCAGTACTACTGATGTTATGTTTATTGAATATATCTGCTCATTTTATTTATGGCTCTTGGTCATAATTATAATCCTAATCAGTCGCTGTTCAACAAAAGTTTCTAATCTCACAGTAGGGTCCTCAGTTCAGGTTCTAGTAACTCTAATGTTCATATCCTTCTCAAACCTTCTCTCTCTTTCTCTCAATATACTCACTCCAGCTCGTATACACCAGTTAAACACTGATGGTATCACCTCCAGTAGATTAATATGGTTCACTGATGGCAGTGTTTTATATGGCAAGGACCCAGTTCATATCATATTGATGTGCACTAGTATTGCTATCATCTTACTCTTTGTTGTTCCTTTTATACTCATTGGTTTGTTTGGTGCAAAACTGTTTCGATTTCGTTTTATGGCCATGTACTTACGTCCATTCATTGAAGCACTCCATGGCCCTTACAAGGATAAGCACAGATATTGGTTTGGTCTAATGCTGATTATACGTACACTTGTACACACCATATCAGCATCACTAGAAAGCAACAACACTACACTACTATTGTTAGCCTTCACAGTCATAATTGGGTTCTACATTCTTGGGCTGGGTATTGTAAAGCCATACAAAATTAAGATACTCAATGGATTAGAAATATTGTTTGGCATTGTTCTCTTGGCAAACCTGATAGTCTCCTTGTCAGCCAGTAGTTTAAGTGTCATTGAAATTGTAGCAAGTATATCAGTTTGTAGTGGAGGAGTGCTGTGTTGCATCATATTAGGCTATCATGTACGCATTGGCCTTAATCAAAATCTCTCCATTAGGAAACTACTGAGAAAGAAATGTTGTAACTTTTGGACAAAGGATGAGTATCTGGAGTCTTTGCCACCACTTATTGACGAAAACAGAGAAGTAGTAACATATTAGCTATTTATTTGAATAGACTTAAAAGGATTATAATTTACATGTAAAATAATAATAAGCCTGCATTAGTACTACAGTCAGTTTATGATAAATAGAATTTTTATTAATAATAATAATAGTAATAATAATAATAATTGTATTGCTTCATTTTAGCTAAAATATTCCATGAAACATTTGTCTTTGTACTTGTTAATAATCTGTCACTAGCCCCATATCTTAGCTGATTACCAAATAAGGTAAACTGATGGTCCTTCACTTTGAACTGAAAGACACTGTAGAATTGCTACAAAAAATAAAAAAATATAGTTGCTACTTTATTAGCAGCAAAAACACAAAAAATATTGTCACTCTATAAATTTTTTGAAGCCAAATTTTGATGAAATACACCATTTACATAGCACATGGTCATTCGTGGCCTAGTTTTTGAGCAACTTTAAAAATTTATTAAAATTCAAACTTGATTGGAATGAGCTCAAACTTGCTACACAACACAAGAACATGTATATGTATCAGAAAAAAATTGACAACTCTTTGCTAGACATTTTAGCAAAGTTTTGCCAAGTTGCCTTTACAAGCTGATTTTGGAACAACTTTAAAAATTAATAAAAATCAACTTTTCATTGGAATCAGTTCATAATAAACTATTATTAATGAACACAGCATTTTGCCTTTGTTATTAATTAGTTTGAATGTATTTGTGATTTCTGTATTACAATCCCTTCAATGGCAATATGACCCTGCCATTTTAATTCTACCATTGCAATAATAATATCATTCATTGTGTGACTATTGCACAACACTATAGTTAACCTAATATTTTGTACAATGCAATGTCTGAGAGAAATAAGTACATGTACAAAATAAATGGAAGGTAACGTACCTGTACATGATGACATTGGGTAATACATGAGAATGCATTCAGTTAAATTCAGTGTGTGAGGGAAACTGATACATAATACTGTTGTGCATGTAAGTGTGAGACTGAGAGTGAGATAATGCATGTATATGATGTGTGCAAGAGACTATTGAATATTAAATACCACATATTCAAATTGCAGTTCAGTTAGACAAGAGCTACAAGGAATTGACAAGGAAAAGTCCTTTTATGATATGATGGCACTTGCTTCAATATCAGAAGGTGATAAACTAAACCAGCACAAGAATAAGCTTTATAGATTCTCCTGGTATTGAGACATGTTGTTATTGAAGTATTTCTGAAGCTCTGGATAAAAACAGGTTTAAGGATGGTCTTTTAGAGCTTTCGTTGAGCTCACCCATTGTTATGTTGTTTCTGCATATCATAAGGACATCAATATGTATCAGAAAATGTATTAAAACTTTGCAGTTTTTCTGGAACCATTTTTGGAAAACCATAAGCAATAACCCTTTTTATCATCCAAATATTGGAGGGTAAGAGTGAAGATTACAATTCTGCATGTAATTTTGCCTATAAAATTACATGTATATGTACACATAAATTACATGTGTACACATGTAATTTATGTGTACATGTATGCTAGGGTTTTTATCAAGATTTTAACTAAGACTGGTAATACATAATAATATACATCTAACTTCATGTGGCTGATTAAATATTGTGGGCAAATGCCTTGAAAAGAAATCCTGGATACAGTACATCAATAATGTTAAAAACAAAGCTTATAATTTATATTACATTTTTCATACAAATATTATTATACATAAATGCAACCATTCTTATCTTGTGTAACAATTCTGGGCTGATTTTGATGAAAATTACATTTTACAAAAATATTTGAAGTTACTTCAAAATCGGGCCAAAGGCCCTGTACTATAATATTACAGGCTGGTCTTGGCCAAAATTTCTCCAAAAATGAAATGAAAAAAACTATTTTTCTAAATTTTTAAAATGCAAATACATGAGTAGAAAGTTTCAGCAAATTCCAATCAAAATTGGGTTTTTTTAATTTTGCTGCTCAAAAATTGGGCCAAAGTCCATATAGGGGAGGGGTTTTTGGCAAAACTTTCATCAAAATGACCACAAGATAATTCTCCATTTTAATAACTGTCATATAGTCACGTAGCAAGTTTGCGTTAATTTTGGTCAAAATTGAATTTTAAAGTTGGCCCAAAGCCATTGTAGTGCTTGTCAGATCATAAGCATGTTTCTAGCTCACTTAGCATGCTTTGTGGGAAAACCCTGAGAGTACAATTGTCTTTTGAACTATAATTTTCGTCAAGTGTGGTGCAGCATTTAAAAATTAATTGTTGAAACAATTGTTATTATTAAGCCAAAAATTTTAAGCACAAATGTAAATATTAACTAAGACAAAATAAACTGTGCATGTCTTATAGTGTTGCATGAGTCCTATGTTCTTTGGCTTTTATCAATGTCCTCATCAGCTCTTTACCATGCTCTCGCAATAATGATAAGCATAATTGTGAGCATCTTCAACAGCTTTTTCTGGATCTGTGAATGCCAGAAGAATGCTGTTTAGTGCGCCATAACCATAGTAACCACCAAATACAAGGTGATCGGTACATCCAACAACTTTAGCCCATTCGTGCATTATTATCTGCTCTTTTTTTATATTAGCATTTTCATCACTACAAAACTTCATTTTATCATAATAGTTTTGGCAAAGAAAGATGACATTTGGATAGCCAGCACAAGAATATGATACGAAGTCTGCATCATTCTGGCATTCTGGACCATCATTGTAATATGTAATTTCTCCAGTTGACACAGTGTCCTTTATTTTTTGGTAAGTTTCTTTGACTGTAGCATCCCTAGCTGATGAGTACGTGCCAAACCAACTTTTGTACACTGAATTACCATTACCAGTTTGTTTTAAAGCTTTATCAATTCCAGCACAAAGTCTCTTATGAATATCAAGAGTGTCGCTATCCATATGTGGACCATTTGCAATATTAGCACTAGCACAGCCTTGGACAAGAACAGTGTGGTCTATTTTGATTCCTTCTTTCTTTGGCCTTAACAGAAGATGAGTGTCTTCTAAATAAATTTGAATCGACTTTTGTACTGATGAATCCTTGAGCTCATCGATGGACATTGCACTCATCTCATTCACTGACAGATATTGTAAAGGTCTACTGTATTGCACAGTGTAGAGACCATCAGTATCAGTGTTAAATACATCAGTGATTTGAACCGTTGCAGAAATACTTTTACCTGCCTTCAAGAGAACAAACCCATTTTTTGCAGGAGGCATACGATAAGCTATTGGTCCTTGATAAGGAATGGGACCACCATCAAGAGAGACAGAAACAAATTCAGAGTAGAATCCTTCAAGAGGAGTGCTGTGTTTTAGTAGATAAAGATCCTCATCAGCATTGTTGGTAAACTCAAAGGAGCAAGCAACAGCAGAAAGAGCTCTATTACAAGCCATGTCAAGAAAGATTGGCCAGCCATTAGTACTAAATGTACTACAAGAAAAAGTAATACTCATTTGATACTGTAGTAACATACCTCAGAGCACAGGTCAGGTAAGTAACAAGACAAAAGAGTGAGAAAAGAGTCTTCATGATTCCTTTTACTTGCAAAATGATAGTCAGAAGTGACTTACTGTTGTTACTAATGTAACTTAACAAAGCAATTTTGTCTATTTTAAAGGACTGACAAAAACATTTTTGTCACATGGCCTGAAGGTTCATGTAGATCTATATACAGACAATGGACTATTGTCCAGCTAAAGTGTCAGTCCAAGTTATAGTGACTAGTTGGCCACACTGACTACTATAATGTGTGCTATACAATATCTTGGCTACTGATGAGCTCTTTTCTTGGCCTTACCAGAAATTAGCATGGGTATCAGGCCCGTAGCCAGGGTTACAAAAAGGGGGGTGACAAAATATGAGTTACATGAAATGGGGGTGACAAAGTATGAGTTACATGAAATGGGGGGTGACAAGTTGGACTGAATGCACATGAAATACCACAAATACATGTTTGATTTAAGCAAACAAACAAAGGTACTAACTCAAAAGGGGGGTGACATGTCACCCCAATCACCCCCCCTGGCTACGGGCCTGGGTATGGGCTATGTTTTATAATACTGTTTTTCTGGCCTATACCATTAGTCTATTGTGTTCTAAAAGTGACTTAGAATGAGAAAATGAACTAACTGGTAGGATTTTTTTTAAAAAGATATGGATACCATTGGTAGTTGTACAATAGAATTATAAGATTGTAGCTACTCGTGACTTTTTATGAGAACCCTGACAGTTGGTTCATTTCCTCATGCTAGTTTCCATACGTAAGGTCACTCATAGTTATAGGCGGGCTTGAGTGGGTGCATGGGCAGGTTTGTTAGTATACATGTGTATACTATCATTGTAAGTTTAATCCATCATCACCTGTACAGTGGATTCAAGTTAGACAAAGGAAATACTTCTTCCTTCCCTCCCCCTCCTGAAATGCACAATTGCATTATTTTGATGATTTAATGATCATTGGAAATACAGGTATTGTTATTAGTGCCTGTCTGTTTTATGATGTAATAGATCTTGTATTTGTTAAGCCAAGACTATATATTAATTCTTAAGAAAAATGTAATTAGTAATTAAGGAAAAATAAACTGTGATGTCCTATAGTGTTGCATGAGTCCTAAATTTCTTAGTATCTTGGCCTTTTAATGAATACCTCATTTGGTGTCACAGTAATAATATGCATAAGTGTCAGCATTCTCAACAGCTTTATCAGGATTACTCTTTGCTAATGCCTCACAATTTTTACGACCATAAACTCTATCCCTACGGCGGCCAAGAGCATGAGACCATTCGTGCACTAACACATCTTCTTTGCTAATACCAGTAGTGCTAACACAGTATAACTCCAGATTGAAGAATGGCTCACAGAGATAAACTGTTGAGTAGGAATAAGACAGGACAGTAAATGCAACAACATAGCTCTTGCACCATTCCCTGTTGAAATATGTGAGAGAATATTTTGACAGTCCACTTCTGATGCTCTTGTAGGTGTCTTGCACAATACCAGCACGTGAGCAAGAGATTGCACCAAACCATTTCTGAAAGTCTGAGTTAAGATTGTTTCTCTTTAACAATTTATCGAATCTAGGGCAGAGCCTTTTATGAGCTTCCAGTGTCTCGCTATTTTTTCTATCTCCGTTGGCAAAACTAACAGTGCCACAGTCCTGAAGGTGCACAGTGTAATCGGGTTTTATTTCTTCTTTCTTCGGCTTCAAAAGAAGATGAGTGTTTTCCAAATGAATGTGAATGGATTCACGTACAGCTAACTCTTTGAGGTCATCAATGGACATTGCACTCATCTCATTCACTGACAGATACTGTAAAGGTCTACTGTATTGTACAGTGTAGAGACCATCAGTATCAATGCTAAATACATCAGTGATTTGGACTGTTGCAGAAATACTTTCACCTGCCTTCAAGAGAACAAACTCATCCTTTGCTGGTGGGAGATGATACATATAAAATCCTTCATAATCCAGTGGACGACCATCAAGAGAAACGGAGACAAATTCAGAGTCGAGTCCTTCAAGAGGAGTGTTGCGTTTCAGTAGATAAAGATCCTCATTAGCATTGTTGGTAAACTCAAATGAGCAAGCAACAGCAGAAAGAGCTTTATTACATGCCATGTCAATAGAGATTGGCCAGCCATTAGCACTGCATGTACAAGAGAAAAGTAACATTGATTTGATACTGTAGTAACATACCTCAGAGCACAGGTCAGGTAAGTAACCAGACAAAAGAGTGAGAAAAGAGTCTTCATGATTTCTTTCCTTGATAAAGAGTACTTGTAAAATGGTATTCAGAAGCGTAACTGAACAAAGCAATATTGTCTGTTTAAAGTACTGACAAAACATTTTGTCACATGGCCTGAAGGTGTATGTATTATACAGATAATGGACTATTGTCCAGCTGTCAGTCCAAGTTAGTGACTAGTTGGCTACACTGACTACTACAATGTGTACTATATACCATCTTGGCTATCGATGAGCTCATTTATTTATAATACTGTTTTTGAACTATGTCAGTTTCATCCCAACATGTAAGGGCCACTCAAAGAAGAGTCTTTTATAGGTGGGTCTGATGCGGGTGATTGAATTGATTCATCAAAAACTGCAATAAATGATAGTGGCATATGGCCCCATGTGGGCAGCAAAAAGGAAACTAAAACAACTATAAATCAACTTGGACTGGCCTAAGTAATATCCTCATTTTAGAGTTCAATTTGATATTTGTAAAGTTAATTAAGTTATAGACTTCTCAAGCTGTGAATGATTAGTGCATGAATATCATTATTTTGAGATACAGCATCCACCTATGCGAAATAATTGGCTGCCATTTTGGACGGCAAGATTCAATGAACGAATAAAGCAAACTATAGAAGAGCTTGTTGGAAGAAAGCATGGGTGCTACCAAGCATCTCATAAAACAGATATTTGCATTAATAACAATTGGCATTTGGCCAAAGCAGTTATTTTATAGGATATTTTGAGACTGTAAATTTGCAGAACTATAGACAAAACAATAAATTTTAATTAGCAGTTTTGTCTACCAATTACATATAGTGATACATAAAAAATACCATGTAGTGCATAAAATACATCAGTCCATTACAAAAATAGTGTACTCCATTGTGTATATATCATCATAGATATAGACTGATAGACATGATTAGTCCCTAGTGTTGTTGAATGAATCATCTCTTCTAAGTTAGCTTACATACACCAGTTATCATATCTATACCAGCTCTCATTATTAGTAATGTCTGGTGATTCGGTACCAGTTTTACCCTTTCATTAAACTCTGACTTCAACCTAAGAGAAAAGAGAGGGAGAATAAAAAGGAGAGGAAGGTGGGAAAAAGAGGAGAATGGAAAAAGAAGGTGAAGAAAAAAGAGGATCAAATGAGAGAAGTAGGAAAAGAAGAGGAGAGAACGAAGAAGCCATTAAAACAATTGTATGTACATTGTACAGTTAATGATGTAAGTCATGTATGTAACAGCATTTCTCAAATTCTTTCTAAAACTCATCTTCCATTCATTTTTTTATCTCTCCTCCAACTTACATTTATTTCATGAACAAACAGCACAACTTGTTTCTCTTGGTCTTGTCCTCACTGTTAATTAAGCCACATTGGGATCTACTCCTTATCAGGTAATTCAAGATCTGATACCTTTGAATAAACAGACTGCCTAGGCTGCAACCACCTAGTACATAATAATATGTACATGTCAATAGTTATAAAGTAATACATAAATCACATAGTATAAACAATGTATATAAAATTGCTACATGCTCAATAATATGTAGCGAGTATAATGCTAATTATGAAGAATCCCAAAATCAAAGAAACCAGAATTGGATGATAATATCAATGTAAGTGACAATATAATTATCATCACTTTTTTATTTTAAAACATTTAGTAACTCATACAGCCAGTAAAGCACTTTTTTCCTCACTAAAGTACATTCAGCTGATTCGTGTAGAAAGAGGAAGTCCGATTATGCCTCATTATTCATTAAGAAGACTAAGCTTTTATGAAGGCACAAGCTCATCTGCTTCGCTGACAAAGATGCTGAATTATACTGCATTTCTGGGAAACTAAGTTTCCTAGTTTGAGCCTATTGCATGAGAGTCTGCTTTACTCTGCATGCGTGTCAAACTGCAAGCAATTCCAAAAAGACCTCATTAGCTGAGAATGAATTTCGTGGTGTAGTTGTAGTAGAGTAGAGAAGGAAATAAATGTATCGATGATGTCACTATTGCTGTGCCTATATAGCTATGCAGGTGTCACTTGTTAAGAATCTGAAGTGGAATTTATCTATTCACATATCTCACAGGCTTGCTGTAACTGCCTTTTTTCTTAAGAAATTTTAAAGCAAGCGTGTAAAAAAACCCAGGACTTTTTTTAATTTTATGCTGCGCTACATATGAATGCATGCCTAAATCAATGGAGTCTAACACTTTAAAGACTTTTCTGAAAGCTCTAAAATAACTAAGTCCTGCAATTTTGGTTTTAGTTATATCATAGAAGATTACAGTGACTATAGCTTCTGATTTTCTAATTTCCAAACATAAGTAAAGTTGGAAGACATTTTTCAATAACTTCAATTGTAGCAATTTTTCAGGAAACTATAGTGCATTGCATAAAACAAGATTTTGTACTGAATTTTTAATGAGTGTGTATTGACTAGAAATAGTCTTGAAGTCACAGTTGCCTGCATTAATTTATTATAATTTTTAAAATACAATATTACCAGTTCTTTTCTCTTTATACCCCTTTTGGATGATTTGCAGGGCCTACTGTAAATGTGTTGTGTACGCATATCAGGGCAAATAGGATATCCCACAATGATTTGTAGATGCATAATCATGATTCCTCTGAAAAGGTAAAGTTGATGGTTTTTATTGACTTTGATAAAGTTGTCAACTTTTTCCTTCATATAATTAAAGTTAATATATTTGACAGTGTAGTGACCCTCCTGTTTAACCCCTTCTCAAAAGAACTCAGATTCTGAGTGGTCCCCTTTCCAATGGCTACACTGCAAGCTCCAGCAACAAAGCCAGAGAAAGAGAGAGTTAAACTATCCAACCATATCAGCATCAGGCAAGCTGGACAATGACATTAGCTCGCAATTTGAGGCCAAGCCTACAACCAAGGACTTAGATCCACTGTCAGGAAGGTCAAAACGGAGTACCACCAAATTTCCAGATTCAAAAGGTATCTCTCACGAATCATTATGATAGCTCATATCATGACAGTATCAGTTTGCACTGATGTATCCTGCAGCAGTATGATGGCATATGGGATTTGGGTATGCCGGCATGTGCAAGATCTCTAAACATAGTGCATTGTCCTTTTGAACTTCTTATACTTCTTTTATTGCTATGGTAGCAACAGCAATAGAGCTCAAATGGCACCGTGACCAAAGCAGCTCACCTGCAAGTTGATTCATCAGCTCTGGCAGGAGGCAGGGACAATGGCAGCTCTAATAGTGGCTCACAAGTTGTGCCAGCTAAGCCTACAATGGAGGCAACAGATCTCGCAGTCTAAGTACCTCCCAATCCTCAAAGGTACCAGGGCATGCAGGTGTGTATACACATAAATGTAACCTGAATGCAGCAGCATATGGCCTGTTGGATATGGGTACATTGCATGTGTATAATTAAGTTACAGGCTAGTGGGTTAATTGAAATAGCTCGAAACACATGCTATTGTCTTTGAGCAGACATCAGGTCATATAAAAGAGACGATGTACCAGAGAAGACATGTTATGTAGTAGGCATGTATCTCAGTCAGCACACTATATATAGTGTGCTGTGATACAAGCATACTACAGTTTATTTTCTTTTATATGACCTTTTTGCCTTAACATAGCATGTTCAAGTAGTCTTTTTTAAAACCTACAGCAGGCATGGAATTGTTGTTGGCAGCCGCATCAACTATTCGAGCTACATCAGGAACACCAAAAGCTATCTACTTATGTTCATGCATGATAGCTCACATGATGGCATTGTTATTTCTACTACATAACACCAGCTAAGAAGGGAAGGCTATCTGCAGAAAAAGTGAAATGTTAGTTAGTTCTACCATTAATTATAGAAAGACAAGAGCTTCAACGAGCCTGCATGTGCAAGTGTTCAACTTGATCCTTTCTGCTCTCTATCCTTATCCCTTCTATTTATATAGACGTCAAAAGGAAGCAAGATTTTAAAAATTGTGACATGCAGAATTAGAAATGAGAACAGTAAGAGTTGACAGAGTACCTACTCCGATAAACGCCTTTCATGAGTTTTGTGTAAGTCAAACGTAAATATTTGTATAGTCTTGCATATGCATATATTCATTTGTTACTGTATAATTGGGGCGAGCCTGAGCTCCCCTAACTCTAGCAGTACTCTCAGTCACGCCCATCCCTCTGTCTGTCTTTGTACATCACCCCTATTTATTAGTGCATTCAAAATAATGCGGTATTTGAAAAAGAATAATTTAATTGTCTTTTTCCATCATATACGTTTTTTGTAACACGCGTTGTTAGTAGTAAAAACTAAGCAAGAAAACTCTGAGGAAATCTTTGTCTTATTACTTCTTATTAATTGTAAGTATTTTCAAGGAAGAATGTCTGATGGTATTAAGACAGCTAGGTTCATCTCCTTCGAACCCAATTTGCTAACCTACTATCAAAAAATTCAAGAATGAAGAGTCTCCAATTGCATTAAGTAACTGTCGAATACAAAATAACAAATATGATTCAACCTTGGAAATATTAACCAGCCAATTTTCAACTATTGAACAGTCGCCCAAAAAGTTCAAATTGCCTGATGGTGTCGCTAAAAATGATGTGATTGACATTAATGAAATACAATCTACTGCTGTTAATCAACAAATATCAATTATTGGTAAAATAATAAAAGTTGAGGAATTAGTAGAAGTGAACACAAAGTCAGGGAAGCGCCTGACGAAACAGGATTGTACCATCAAAGACGCCACATCAAGTATTCGAGTTTTTTTATGGGAAAAGATGTCAATAGATCTATAAAAGGGAGGTGCTATAAGCTAATGAATGTTCTTACAAGACAATATGAAGGAGCCAAGCACATATCATTTTGCGACAGTTCCTCAATTGAGCAAATGGATCAAATTGATGGTATAAGTTCTGAGGAGGAAGACTATGAAGAAGTTAATCATCTGCAGTCAATCAAAGCAGTCACTGATGGGCAGATTATTTTAGTTTTAAGTACAACTGATTACTTAAGCTGCGTAGCTTGCAGTGGATCGATTATTCATATTTCTGACACTCTTGCTAAATGCACTAAATGTCGTGCAACAATGAAGATTAGCAATTGTACCTCTTGCAAATCTGCCAGACTTCTTATTTTGGATAACTTGAAGAAAAAGTGGAATCTCACTGCATATAATGAACAGTTGGAAGATATCATTCAAGAAGCCAGTGGAGATTCACTTGAAGAGAAGCTGCTGAATTCTAACAAGTTCACTTTGCACTACTATACAGCGACCAATGAACTAAGATACACTATACCATCAAGGAAGCAGCCAGTTGCTCCCTCAACATCAAACTAAGATTTTTTCTACAATTGTAGCCTTGTTAAAAAAGGCACCACAGGTTTGTGTCACATTAGACATGTGGACAAACAGGCAAATGAGGTCCTATTTTGGCATGACAGCCCACTTCATTGTTGATTTTCAGTTAATGAGTGTGATGCTTGCCTGTTGCCGATTCTCCAGTTCTCATACAGGAGAAGAAATGCTAGAGCACTATGAAGATGTCAAACATGCGTTTGGGATTAAAGGAAAGGTTGACAATATTGTCACTGACAATGGTGCTAACATACTAAGGGCCTTTTGACTTCTTGAGATTGATTGTGATGCATCAGAGCTAGAAGACACTGATGATGAAGACGAGTTACAACCAGTTGAGGATTTATCTGATGATGACCTGCATTTTATTAAGCCAAACCATTATTGTTGCTTTGCACATACTATCCAGTTGGTCATAAAAGATGGACTAGTAGGTGCTGACCAAGTTAAACGTGTGCTAGGAAAGGCAACAAAATTAGTTAGTCATCTTAGGCATTCTACTTTTGCATCTGAGTTGTTTGAGGACATTGGTCGCTTACAGTCAGGAAATGTCACCTGGTGGAATTCACAGTTAACAATGCTGAAATCTATAGTTAAAGTATCTGACTCAACCGCTATGCAACAGCTTGACTATAATGGTAAACTAAATCTCCATGAGCTTAATATCAGATAATAGAAATACTAACACCTTTCAAATGGGCAACCAATTTGACTCAAGGACAAAATGTTGTCATTCGTGGACTACGAATTGAAATAGATAACTTTTGTCAAAAGTTTAACTCAAGATTTACAACAAATCTAAAAGCGTCATTTGAGAAGCAAATGTTTAAATATGACAATGAAGAAATATTCAAGATTGCTGCTGTTTTAGACCCAAGATGGAAAATGGCCTGGTGTAGTGAAGATGAATCAGTTGAGTTGAAACACATCTTAGTTCAGAAAGTTCGGTCTGAATTACATGACTTACATGCAACATATTTAGAAGAAACAAAAACAGCCCCTGAAATGCTTCCTCCACCCAAAAAGGTCTCAATGCTATTTGAATTTATGCAGGCTAGAGCTAGCGTGTCCACATCGCAAAGTGATATTGATCCTATTATACATCAGCTTGAAGAATATATTTCTTTGCCTAATCTAGACGAAAAAGAAAAGCCCCTTTTTGAAAAGAGAAAGAAGCTAATTATCCAGAATTAGCCAAGCTACCTGGCTACTATTTACAAACACCTGCATCTAGTGGACCTGTTGAGATTATTTTTATTGGTGGAAAAATTTTTAGGCCTGAAAGATGTTGTTTATCAGATGTTATGTTTGAAAAACTTATGTTTATAAGATGCAACAATGATTTTGAGCAATAATTTTTTCCATTATAATTATATGTAATGTAGTGACATAGTCGTAATCATAATCGTAATCATATGACATAGCAGGGGTGTAATTGTAATCGTAATCACATTTAATGACAGGTGTGTAATCATAATCACTATATATGCAGTACCATGTAATCATAGGTGTAATCGTAATTATGAATTTGTAATTGACCCCAACCCTGCTATCCTTCCCTTGTCACAGGTACTAGTGAGTAACCTGAGAGTGGCTCTAGCCCTCATAGGAGGAAGGCCTCAGAGTCTACATCAGAGGATGAGGCTGATGATCCATCAGATCTGGAGCTACCCTGGTTGTCAGAAGGGGAAGTCTTCTTTCTACCAGAAAATATAACATCTTTCTTCGAGTCTACCTTTATCAAATCCCTTTCTAGAGAAAAGAGGAGAGTCATAAGCATGAGGCTGATTCACCAATGCTATGTACCCCTATTGCCGACAAGGACATTGCCCCTGTCTTTGGGAGGGAGTTCCCAACAGCAATGAATCAGCCCTCTCTAGAAATCAGTCATCAGTATTGTCCTCAGCTGCTCCCCTATTAAATTTGTGGTCTAATCTTAATCATGAAGAGAGGAGAGGACCTTCCACATAAATCATCTAAAATTAATGGCAGCTCTTCTTGCTCAAAAAACCTTTGTGGTCAATAGGTCAGACTTACATATTACCGTATAGCGCTTTAATTTGGCGGAGTTTTATTTTGGTGATTGGCAGTTTGCAAGCAGAATCGCCCATATTAAACCACCAATCATCAATGAGCATGCTCAGTAACACACGTGTACACAAAAAACACCAAATTAAAAACCGCCAATTACAATTTTACAGCAAAATCACCAAAATAAAGCACAATATGGTATTCTGCTGATAGACAATATCACAGCCATATCCTACTTAAACAAGAAAGGGGGTACACACTCCCAAAATCGCTCAGACTTATCCATTTCAATGTGGCAGTGGTGTTTGGAGAGGAAGTTGACAATCCATGCCATTCACATTCCAGGTTCTCAAAACTTAGTTGCAGACTCTCAGTCCAGGAGAGGAGTCAAATACAGTGACTGGATGCTAGATCCAGAAATATTTACAACAGTAGCAGAGAAGTGGGGCTTACCCAATGTAGATCTATTTGCAGCCCATCACAATGCACAGCTCAGTAGGTTCTACAGCTATCATCTAGACCTGGGTGCAGAGGGAATAGTCGCACTCTCCCAGTGCTGGAAGAAACTAACTTGTTATGACTTTCCCACATTCATTTTCCTGGGCCAAGTACTACAGAAGCTGAGTCAGGACAGTGTCAAAACAGCAATAATAATTGCACTATACTGGCCTGCACAAGTATAGTACATAGTCCTAATAAAACATCTCACGGACTAAAGGGAAAATTGGTATATAGTGATAAACATGACAAGATAATAAAAAAGTGAAGGTATAATGAAAAAGCCAGCTGCTGCCATTTCTCCTTTATTATGATTTAATAATAGAGTGACTAACAAAATGCATATGATCTATGAAAGATGCATAGAAATGCTACATACAGAGAAATACATTTTATCCACACTTCAAAAAATTAGGGAGAAATTTCACACACACATGCATATGATGTGAGTATTGTATGTGTATAAAAATCATCCTTTTATATCATGACTTAGTCATAAATAATCAATCAGAGAGGGAGAGAGTTAACCTTAATTTCATTTATTAGGATTTTGATGTTTCTGTGATTGAAGATCAACCTTTAGAAATCACGAAATAAAATTGCAATCAAATAAGAATTATAATTGATATGCCTCTTAAGTTTAATTTTATTTATAAATTTTAGCCTCCAGGTTCTAATGAATTTGGTGATCGACCTTTGATTCAAGATAATGATGAAGTAAATGATGATAATGAAGTAGCTGGGGGGGAACTTGATATCATTTTTGAAGATTCAATTAAGGACAATGATCACAATGATTCACAGGTGATCATTGCTCATAACTTTGTTTCTGCCATTCAACGTAGTTGTGTATACCTAAGCACTCTGCACTAATCTGGGTTGCATCTTTTTATTTATTGTGACGTAGGCCAGACAATTGTTAATCAAAATGCAAGAACACGTCATATCCAGCTCACATTGACCTTCTTAGGAATCATTACAATAAGATACAGGTTGTCATGGATGTTTGGTCCCTTGCTAAAATAGAGCAATGTTAGAGCTTGATTTCATCCAGTTACTTCACTGTTAATTTCCCGTCCTATGTGGCTGATGCCACAAAACTGCGGTGGACTGTGATGGATGGAACTTAGCAATAATACTGTTGCTTATCATTTCAATTTTGTTTTTCATCATAGACTTTTCAATGGATTCAGACGGTACTAGTTCAAAATAATTATAGTATTATCTGTATGATCATCAATTTGTAGATCATCTTGTCACAATTAATGAACAGAACTGCTCTGAATGGCTAAAAGGCAAGATGAAGCATGTTGCTTCTGTAAAAAAATTTACAACAGCAGGATTGACAGGAATGGACCGGGCAAGCTCTTTCTGTACCACCTTTTACAAGGGTTCTTATTTACTTGTCATCACATTTCTGAAATAAAGTTATCCACCACTAAAGATCCCCATTCTGACTGGTGTGGCCAACCAGCAAAACTGTCTAAATTGCATGGTATAATTTCCTGTACTGTTAATGAAAATGATTTTTAATTAGGCATCCCTGATGTAGTAGCCACTCATCACAAAAGAATCTATTTAATTGCCGAAGTGTCGCATTTAAAGCCTTGTGGTGGCATACTTCAGCTCATAGCAGAGCTATAAAGTCACTGTTGAAGAGGGACAACACCTAGTGGTATAGTCAATTTATTGTAAAGCAGGAAATTATTTGGGGCTCATGTAGGACTACTTCTATATAACCAAACTCTCATATTCCTGGCATTTTGGGGAGGCTCATGGCAACGGTACACTACAAGCATAAGTGATTTGAAAGGCTTGTTCGAAATTTTGGGCCTCATCCATTATTGAACTTTCATAAAGTTGATCAAGAAAAGGTTTGTGTATTTCTTGCACTAATGTATAGTTACGTTCATATGTTGTATAGGATGTACTCCATGCAACCATGGAAAATAAAAATCAAGTAAACTTTTTTGTGTTAGTTTTTTCAATCACTGTAACGAGTATGATTATTAGTATGTATTATTATTATTGTTATTATCATTACCATTATGTATTGTAAGATTATGATTATTATGTACTCTTATTATTATTGTTAGTGTCAGTATGTATTACTCTATTGTTATTATTAATTGCTAGTTATGTAAATAGTTTTAATTAAGTTGTTGTGTTTGTTTTGCTAAAAAGAAGAGAACTTATTGTAGTTGTTGAATCCTTGTCCATCGGTCATTACAATCACTTTTAGGCATTTCAAATTTTATGTGCATTTCTTTCTAATAAATTTCAATCTATGGAAAGTGATTTCAACATAGCACTCAGATTATCTACTGGTTCCAGATTTTTGCATTCATTTACAGCTGATACTCTTATGCTAGACATCTGAGTTCATCATTTGTGCATTTTTACAAGACTCAACTCCCACAATTATTTAATATCCCTAGTAATGCCACACCAATTTCGTTGCTTTTTCAACACCACTAGTGATGCAATCATCAAAATATTTTTTACCAATAAACTTTGTTTCACCATCAATAAAAGTTTGTTAAATCCCTAACATTGCCAGTGATGCTACTGGAGACTCCATTCCTATATTGCTGGCTAAAGTAGCCCAGATAGAGCTTTCCATGATTAAGCATTCCTCTCTTTAGATAATAATAATCTACAATCTATAGTCATGACAAATTAAATTATAAGCAGGTGTATAAATATGGAAATGTTTATAGATATGCTAAAGTTATCAAAAGTTCTATTCAGGCAAATAAGATAAAATATGATAATATGGGATTTGAAACATCCATGTGTACCTCTGATGACATACTGAAAAATAGTATTGTTTGCCAGAGTGTCAGTACTTCATTACAATTCCTGTCTGTAGACAGTGAGTTCGTCTTTCTTAATGTAACTTTATTAAGTTTTTTTCGGTCATCTCCAATTACTTTTATCCAATACTGAAATTTATCCGCTGTATAGTCAGGAAAGCTGTAAAGTTTCTCTTTTCAATGGGCAAATTATTCTGTCACTGTAAGCTTCTCGTTAATGACTACTTTTTGTAATAGTAATTCACTCAACTTCCAACCATTATTTTTAATTTGGATCTCTTATGGCCATGTCAGTAGTTCGAGGTGGTAGAGGAATGCCATATTTGCATGATGCAGTTTATCAATGTATCATCAATGGCAAGAATAGTGAAATAGATTTGGCTGATCTACCAGATGGACAATTGAGCTATGTATGTCAAAAAGCAAATAAAGTTTATTTCCATAATGTTAATTAAAAATCTAAATAGCTTATAGAATTGGAGACTGACGATAAACTGCTGGTTCTGTTTGCTTTGGATGAGGTGGCATCACTATTGCCAGAGTCTGGCTATAGACGGCCAATTTCTAGTCTGACAAGTTTATTAATTTGCGTCACTGCCACATTCAGGGTTTTTATAGGTCAGATGAAGTTGGCATGAACCCAATTGACCTTACATATGACGATGATAGTAGTAGTAGTGGCAGTGAGCAGGGGTGTATCTAAAATATGGAGGAGGGGGGTGCTGAGCGGCGCGCGGAGCGCGCCGCGATTTTGACCACACCCCTTTTTTTGCGCACAAAATGGGCGTGTATTCTAATATCATGTGATCACGCCAATGGAGTAATTTTGACAGTTTGACCATGGATGTG